AGCTGACACAGATATGGTTCTCTTCACACAGAAGTCCTCTGGCCCCCGTGTCTGAAATTGCAGAATTCAGCTCCATGACAATGATCATAAAAAGCAATTCAGGAGCCCAAAGAGGTTCCAATATTGAGCTAAACCAGCAGGACTGTGTACACACCAGCTCTAAGGACAACCACATCTGAACCATGACTCTGAAAGCAAATTTACCCTCGTCAAAAAATGCACAGGCTGCAAAGTAGCCTCTTACTCAAGACTCTGCCTTGGGGTCTCATTCAACAAAAAGACACTTGATGAAGAGGTGAAGTAGCCTCAGCACCACGTTTTCACTAGAATCACATGCAATGATAGGGGTTTGGGCTAAATTTGCCTCCTATCTGTCTCAACCTTTCTTCTTTAACAGACCAATAGCTTGAGGCCCACAATCCCCCAGATTGGAGACCCTTTTTCACATAATAACATATGGATTTGTTGCTTTTCCTTAAACAAGGTAAGCAAGGGCCAGGCCTAGTATAAGGGAGAAAAAGGGTACATAGGGTGGGAATTTAAGGAGCTTCCACCCTCAGGTCACACAAGTGTGTCCTAGGTGGTCTCCCTGTCCTTGCCCCTGCAACTCAGCCCTGGTGAGGCAAGTTCAGTTTAGGAGGGGAAACTGAGAAAGCCACTGAGGTGGGTTGTAAGCTCGACACTCAGAGAAGTGACTGCTGTCCTTAAATATGTAAAAAATCTTTATGTCACACAGATAGAAAAGATTTATTCCCTGTTATTCCAAAAGACACAATTTGGGCCAATAAATGGAACTTAATAGGAAGCCAGTTTCAGCTTAAAAAAAAAAGAGCTATTGCTACAACATTAACTGATATTTATAAAATACTGAATTAAGGGCTTCACACAATAATGTCATTAATCCTCACAATTCTGATAATCAACCTTATCATCACCACTATGCAGATAAAGAAACTGAGAATTAGAGAGGCCAAGAAAGTGGTCTAAAGTTACCCAGTTTCTAAATGGCAGGGCCTGGCTGGGCCTCCGGGCTGTCTGCTTTGACACCCTTGCTCTTTACTACAACACTAAGTCACTTCCTATCAAATGTGAAAAATTGGACCATAATATTATATTTAAGCAAGAGTCCTATGACCATTTCTTGGAGATATATATATATATATATATCATACTGTATTTTTCGGACCATGAGACACACCTATGTTTTAGAGAAGGAAAATAGGGAAAAAATTTGAAGCAAAAAATGTGGTAAAATATTTAATAACATAAATAACATAATATTTCACCAATGTAAATGTAAACAGATATAATGTAAGTGGCATTGTAATGTAATGTAAGCAGCATTAACAACCATTATTCCTCCCAAATTTGGGTGGGGGGGAGTGAGTCTTATAGTCTGAAAAATACGGTATATAAAATCTTCATAAGGGAGGTTAGAACAGTGACCCCTAAGGTATTCCATCAATCCATTGTGGCAGGAGGAGACTACAGTGTGCCTTCAGCTCCTGAGGCCACCAGCCAGTGAAGCATACAAATGTCAGTGCCCATGGAGCCATGATATGAAAAAGGGAAGGAAGCAATGTAAGACTAGGACTTAATTATATCTCTGCCTCATTAACATTACTATGGATTTAGGGTCCTAATCCTTAATCTAAAACACAGGGAAGAATCATCTGGTGCCCAAGCCACACCCCAGCCAATATACCAGAATCTACAGGGCTGGGACCCTGGCATCAAGGGGACTTTAATATACAGAAAGGATTGAAAACTGTTCCAGATGATGGTGCTCAGCAGTAGAAAAAATTTGTGTTATATAAAAAGTTTGCTTTTCCACAAGCAGATTATTAGCTATAGTGCAGGAAATCTACGCAGTCTCTAAAAAATTGCATTGAAGACATCTGACTCCCCAAGTTTTTAACCAAATTATCTCTTGCTCCAAATGTTACTCTTTTAGCTTAGCAGAGCCTTGAATATAGCGGCTGCTGCAGAACCAGTTTGTTGATGCACAGTGAGGGCCTTTCTGGTAGACTATGGTAACTGCCAAGGAGGTTCGAAGTAGGAAGAAATAGCTACCAGTGCACAACCTTGCTACTTGCTATGAGTTATGATGAAGGCAGTTCTCACACTAAGTTTTGCAGATATACTTATTAAACAAACACACATTGGCCAAGCAGGCAAAAAGCAGTTTGTCAAGCTGTTCCATGAGCTCAATGAAGTCCCAACTCTATGTCTCTTTAGGTTCAATACACCATGAATGAAAAGTTCACTGGAGACACAGTGACAATCCCAGGCACAGTGTTATGCCCTGTGGGAGGTGCACTCAGTCAGAGACCCACCTGAACCAAGGACTGGACAAGGTGCTGAGTTGAAGTTAAGCCTCAGGCACCACCCTACTGTTGAGTTAATTATACACCCAGCACATTTCTACCATCCATTCTTGCATGGGGAGCAGAGAAAGGTTTTTAAACTACTTTAGCCAGCCCATGTGTTTAGAATACCCACAGCTTTACCAGTGAGACCCCCTTTCACATTTATTATGCTAATTTGACTTACTCATTTTACGAATAAAATCCATTTTTGACATACAGAATGCTTTCAAGACTTCTGTTGTTGTTGCCCTGACTGCTGTGACTCAGTGGGTTGGGGTCATCCCACAAACCTAAAGGCCACTGGTTCGATTATAGGTTATGGCACATGCCTGGGTTTTGGGCCAGGTCCCCAGTTGGGGGTGTGTAAGAGGCAACCAATCTCTCCTTAAATAAATAAAAATAAATAAATAAATAAATAAATAATTTTTTAAAAAAGACTTCTGTTGTTGTAGAGAAATAGATCACTAAAGAATTTGTACAGGTCAGGAGTATGGTCCTTTCTGACACAATACTAGCTGGCCATTCAACTAGTGTTCTTGACATGTTAGCTGGCCAACCACCTCTAGAAGTAACTCTGCTTATCATGTAAATTATGGCCATTCTTGTACCAACATTGAGTAACACAAGGTCCATTTAGTACCATGTATATTGGTCTTTATGATGTGCATGAAAATATTTCCTAGTGGCTGATGGAAGTCAGGAACTATGTGTGTATGAAATAGTTAATTTGGTGGTGATGATTATTAACAATGTCTCAAAAGAATGGTCTAACTGAATTCTTTTCATAATTCAGATGATAGATGACCTCTTGCTAATCAGCCTCTCTCTAATCCCAAAGCCACCATAGAACCAGGGTTGGGCTAACATCAATGAAGTTCCCAAGGATAAATGACAGAAAGTAAATAGCTTTCTGACACCAACTAATAAATTGCCCTTGATAGTGGCATTTGCATGTAATTTCTCTGATTTAAGGAAGGTAGGCTGATGTTCTTAGTTTTGTCTTTAATATTTTTTGGTGTCTTTATAATGTCTACTGGTATACACTTTAGTGCATTGCCAATTTTAGAGCATTTCTATATTTATTTTACATTTTTGTCTTCTGAAAGCAAATCTATATTTTTACCACTTCCTAGAAGCAGGTGTTCAATTTTTCACATTTTTAAACAACTATTTACTGCGCAATCACTGTAGATAAAGCTTTAAATACCTCCAAATGGATGACAAAACAGAAAAGAAAAGAAAGCCCTTGACAGACACTAAGCAAATGTCAAAGTGCATATCAAATTGGAGAGGGAGATGGGAGAACAGAATAACTGATGGGAGTTGGGAGAACAGAATAACTGATGATTTTTTGGTAAGTCACAACAGCATAGTTTCTCTGTAGAAATTGCCAAAATATTTTCAGACATAAAGCAAAAATAGAAACCAGCACTTAACTTGAAAACAGACTATAATATGGTCAAAAGTTATACACAGTAACAGAGAAAAATAAAACTTGACCTTCTTATTGCTGGTAATAAGTGGGCACAAATGTATCAGGAGCATTTTTATAGGAGCAACAGGGTTTCAAGGTCAACTCCAGGAGACATCATTCCTTTCTTGTGTTTAACAATGATGGCAGCACTGGCGGGGGGAGCTCAGTCTCCCAAGGGTCATTATGACTGAAGGAAGCATTCAAGATTTGACAGTGAAGAGTCCTGTATGGCCACTTCTATTTCTGGGTCTGCCATTGACCTCGAGTTACAAGAGCAAATCCCTTCAACTTTTCACTAGATTTTATATGTTCCACTGCTGCTGTTTTATTCTCTATAGAGAGCTGTACACTGAAGAAACCAATTAACTCTGGCAAAGAATAAAGGGTTCAAGGTACAATAAGAACACTAAGTTTCATTACTGACTCAAAGTTCCTTAAGGGTGGTAAAAAGCAGTGATAGGAACTTTAATAATTAATTCCCTGCCTTTTTTTTTGTTTTGTTGTTGTTACAATGTCTCACTCACCTGCACTCAGCCAACTGAAGTCTTCAACAGCTGAGGCACCAGAATATAGTAGAACATACTTCACTGGCAATTTACATGTAAATTGAAATGTGTGATTCAGCATGCAAACACACAGTAGAAAACCTAATATTTAGTGTTGAGGTCAGCAGGGCTGGACTGGGGTGAGGCCAGCCAGGAACAATATTTAAGGGGGTATCAAAAAATTCAGTAATCAAGATAAATAATATTTTCATGCTATATATTTAAAACAAAAGATTGGAAAAATACATGTTGAACAAAACAGCACATTTTAAAAAAAGAATTTTAAATAAAGAAGTGCTGTTCACTGCACATAAGAATCAAAAGAGGGAATAAAATCAATAATACCGATCCTGTCTTTACTTAAAATTTTGATATTTCATTCATGGTGGAGTTTTTGCATTCATTTTGAGTTTTTAAAATATTGCCTACTATTCTTCTTGATCACCTTGCCCTCCAGGAGCCTGCCTGGTTCAGCTCCTTGCAGTCCCAGCCCTGGAGGATCAGTGTCAGTTCCTAGAAAAGCTGAGGGAGCACACCTGGCAACCAAGGGGCAGGTGCTGTGGGCCAGAAGTAGGTGGGTGGGAGCCCACGCCTGGGGCAGCCCGAACCTACCTCGCTTATTGTGCGTGCCGTGCTTCTTGGCCAGCATGAGTTCTCTCTGGATGCGGTTTTCCAGGTACTCCTGCTTCTTGCCTAGCATGTCTTCAGTCTCCCGAAGTCGGGCCAGGGCTTCCTGGGGGCTGGGAGCCGCTTGGCTCTTAGAAGAGCCTCCCCCTTTAAAGAACTTGCCCAACTTGCTCATGTCTGGGTATCTGGGGGCCGCCTGGGGCCCAGGAAGCGAGATCGTACTCTGTCTCGGGTTCCGACCTCAAAGGCAGCGCTCCTGGGAATGAACAAGTGTTCGGGGCAGGTGACACACACTCCTGGGCATTTCCTGGCGCCAGCGCCACGCCCTCGGGTCGCCCCGGAGGGGAGGGCTCTTGTAGTCGCAGGCGCCACTGGCGCGGGACAGCTCAGAAAAAGTGCAAAACTCCGGCTGGACTGCAGCAGAGTTGTGCAGCATTTGTGCCTTTGTCCACGCTGGGGACGCACCAAGGTGAAGGAGAGCAAACCCACGTTCCAGGGGTAGTGTGCAGGACCTGAAAGCAGGCGAGCGAAAGTGTGTGTGCGTGTGTGTGTGTGTGTGTGTGAGATATGACAGCCGAATAAACAAAATGTTTTATTCCACACATGTGCTGTATGTTTTGGTTTGTGAGTGTGTATGTACGGTGTTCCTGTACACCAGTCTCTGTCCTTGTGAATAAGACATGAGAGTATAGGTGTGTGTCCTGTGGGTATGAGTGTGTGGAGGGTTCTGCTACTGTGATGCAAGTGTGGGGTAGGAGGCTCATCTAGAGGCAGCTGGTCTGTGGGACTTGTCTGCAGATGAGGAATTTGGGCAGGTCCCAGTGTGCCTCGTTGCTGTGGGCATGGGCCATTTCTACATCATCCTTACACAGTTTGAAGTGACTGAAAGGTGGTCATCTCTTCCGCCAATGTGAGGACTTCCGAGTGAGTTTGGTTGTTCCATTCAATTTTGTAATCAGGAATCTGAAGCATTCAGCATGATGGTTAGTGTAGCAAACACTTTTAATGGGGGGCTGCTGTGTTTGGTTGGCTCTACCTCAGATGCATTTACAGAGACACCTAAATAACAAAACAAGCAAATGTCCCAGAGAAAAGAAACATTCTTTTATTCGGGCTCACCATCTCAGTCCCACCTGCAAACAGAGTTTGGTAAGCTGAAAGGACACCGATATGTAATGACTACAGCTGACACTGAGCATGCCACCAAGAAGTGGAATGGGGACTTGAGTCTGTGTTCTGGTTTTCAAGGGCTGTTGTGTACCCCACATAATTCAGCCCTATTTGAGCAATTACCCAACATCATCAGAACCTATTTGTGATCATTAGCTAACCACTAATTGTTAAAAGAGGAAAAAAGCATCCATTACTATAACAAATACACCCTAATACCCAAGATCAATAACCTAATTTGTCTGTCATTATACTAACACAGAAGCAGCAGGTTGGCCCACTTTATCCAACACTGGAATAGCCAGAATCAAATTTTGCCAAAGAAATTGGACATTTTCATAGGAGGCTCATTGGTTTACCTTTTACACACTCAAACATATGAACTTATCATTTCTCAAGAACCACAGCCAACCACTTCTTGTCATCTTCTGCCTGGCCATCCAAAACGCTTAAGATCTGTAACACGTATTTTGCTCTAATCTTCTCTGTATTGTAAACCATAATAAGTATTATATTTTATTATTGTCTGAATATTTTATGAATCTGTTTGGAACATATTTTCTGGGTTAGATTGTAAGCCCCCTGAGAGTTGAGAAACAGCATGTATTCGGCTCTGGTTCATATTGCTAGTCAGTTTAACCAAACTTTACCAAATGTATCTATCTATAAGGTGTTGGGAATACAAGTGTAGTCTGCTCTAAAAAAGCTTATCTTTCAGTGACAGCAATAACATCATTTTCTGGGTGCATACTATAATACTATAAGCCCAACCCAGTTCTAGATGCTAGAGATTCAGCAGCAAGAAAATCCAGAAACCCATGCATTTTTTTTATCCTACTTTCTAGTTGAGGGAAGGCAGACAATGAATTAAGAAAGTGATGTCCTATATGTGCTACGTGGAGGGCAGGCGGGGGCGGGGGGGGGGGCGGGCGGCGGCATTAAGCACAGAGTGTTAGAGAATTGAAACTGTAGACAACATGCACCCAAATCTTGAGTCTAAAAATCTTAGGGTTCAAATGAAGACCAGGATAGCTGGGGCTTGGAAACAAGAGGAGAGTGCTGTGAGATTGTCCGTAAAGGTAGACAGAGTCCAGGGTCCACAGGATGTGCTAATAAGGATCTTGTGTTTTATCTGAAGAGAAAATGAAAATCAATTGGATATTTGAGCAAAAAAAATAATCATGAATTTATAATTCAATGGAAAAAGGAATCAGTTTTAACCAATTTAGTGTGTAGTACTTTCTGAAAAACATGTGGTATGCAAAGCAAGAAATATTTGAATTAAAAATCATTCCCTTCCATTAATACATAGCCTCAGTGGAGAAAAGATAATACTTTCAAGCAAGCAAGCAAACAATCTAAATATGTATTAGTGCTTAATCCAGCAATAAAATATAGAGAATAAATTTTTAAATCAGTGATGTAGAAGCTGAAAAATAACACATTACTCTTCATTCAATACTCATCCTACAAATGTGATTTCATGAAGAGTTCTCAGCATCTTGTATATTTTTCATTTTCTAATCTCAATTGGTCTCAGCTAATAAGGAGGCTGTTATTTAAAAGAATGGTCTTATTCAGGATGATTTACCATGGGTAAGATGGTGAAGGAAATTGGAAATTTATAGATCTGTTGAAAAGACCTAGATGTCAAACTAATTGATACATTTTGATCACCCCTTAGAATTACATCCATTTTTAGAATGCCAAATGAACTCTCTAAAACAACAGAAGAATTGCCCTTTAAACACACAGCAGAATCATCATCAAATAGTTATTTACTAAGCAGCTCAACAAGCATGTACACATTCTTTTCATCAGCAATTCTGTCTTAGAACCAAATATTTATTATATCACAATGAATACAAAAGTAGCCGTTATGAAAAATAATAATATTTCAGAAATAACTTGTATTGCCATAATTCGCAATGAAGATATATGGTGCCTGTGACTGAGTTTTGCCTGCATAGCTTTTCATTCATGTTTTTTCTTTTCTCTATCTACCCCTGACCAGAAAAAAAAATGACAGAATCAAAGGATTATCAGATTTGGTTGTAAACTGTTTTCTACACCAACCACTTAGTGAATATAAAATGAGACATAACCCTCTACACTTCAATATTATCTGTATTGAATAACCTACCCAACGTTGATTCTTACACTTTCCTTTCCCTGTAGAATTTCATTATACCCGAATACAATCCCATGAGATACTGGATCTAGTCAAGAAACACACAGATTATCTCTCTGTTAATAATGATAGCTTTCCTTTTGCTCAAACCAGCCGTGGAGTCATCCTTGTCCCTTCGCTTCCTCTCACACCCCACATCCACCACATCAGCAAACCCTATAGGTTCTCATTACTACACAGCTGACCCCTCACCACTACCACCACTGCTACACATCCTGTTCCAACCCACTCTAGGCTCTCTCCTACATATCATAGTGGACTTCCAACTGACCTCCCTTAGGAGGTCCACCTTGACCTTGCTGCTGACTCCCTGCAGAATGAGCCAGGGTCAAACCCTCCACTGACTTCCCACTTCATTCCAGACTTAAAGGTCTTCACAAATGTCTTCAAGCCCCTCCATGAAGTGCTAATAACCCTCACCCTCACATCACCAGTAGCTCCCTGTCCAATCTCTTCTCTCCTATTGGTCCACTCTGCTCCAGCCAACCTGGCCTGCCCACTCTGGTCTGCCCATCCTACCTCAAATTCATCAGGCACATTCTTACTCTTCTTTTTCTGGAATGCTGACTCACACACCCATTTTATTCACTCATGGTGAAACTTTGATTTAGATCATGGTGTACAAGATAAACTGAAAAACAAAAAGGAGAAATTATTTGTTATGTGAATTATTGAATATCTTGCCTTTTATTTGTTTTATTTATTTCCTGTATATTAGTGAGATATTGCCATGAGGATGCTGTTACAAAACATACCAAAACTCCAGGACTTATAACCGTAAGCATTTATACTGAAGCTCACAGACCTCCAAGTCTATTGAAATTTGGCTGGGCTAGAAAAGGATTGTCTGGGTAGCTTTTCTTCATGCTGTGGGTTGACTAAGCTTGGTTCCATGTTGTGGATTGGGTTGAGGTCTATTCCACGTGTCTTCATTCTGGGACCAGATTGAATGGCATCATAACAGATTGAAAGAATTATGATGATGAATGAAACATCAGTCCAGCCATCAAAGTGGTTATAGCCTGTAAGGTTACAGCCTTTATAGGAGAAGATATACATAAGAACAATTATAATAATATTTAGAAATAACTATATTTAATAGAGAAGTATTGCTAGAACATAATAAGAGTCCAAAAGAAGGAGTGACTCCTTTGCAGTGGAAGGAATAAAGGAAAGCCTTGGAGAGGAGATGAAATTTGAATTTGGCTCTCAAGCTTGGGTAGGAATTTGTTTTGTATAGATAGGAGAAAGGACATTCTGTGGCAGAGAAGGCAGCACAAGACTCAGAGGTGAGGAAGCCAAGGGCATGTACAAGAAACCTGTAGTAATTCAATTTTGCTCATACATAGAAGAATTAGGAAAAAATCATTCATTTATCCAATAAAAATTTATTTTATATCTAAAAGTAGACTCGGGGCAATTAAACTACAATAGACAAGAAAAACAGACATGGTCCCTGTCCTCACGGAGCTTACATCTTGGAGGGGGAGACAAACCTAAGCAAATAATCATACAAAAAATACTAAATCAAGTCTGGGATAAATGCTTTGAAGAAGATATGAAGTGAATGTAATAAGAGCAGTATGTGTCCTAATACTGGAAAACAAAGAATTTCCTAGGGAAAAGATACTTGAGGTGACAGCTAAAGGAAAGTAAAAACAAATTAGATCAAATAGGGAGAAGGGCACTCAAAGTAGAAGAAACAACAGGTGTAAATGGCCTGTGGCCATAGGGAGCACAAAGTAGGAAGAGGCATGTGAGAGATACTGAATGGGAGACAGGCAGGTTGGGCCAAGATCTGAAAGCATTTAAATGCCAAGCAGAGGTATTGCTCTGTAGTCTATGTAAGCTCCTTGAGGTCAGGGACCAGGTCTTGTTCAATTTGTATCAAACCTAGAATAGTATCTGATAAAGAA